TTTTGGGTTCAAAAAGTCAGAAAACAAAATTCTTGGCCTAATAGTTTACATCAAATGTTATTAATCGGCTTAAGGTTGGGTGTCAACTCACACCATGCACTTGAAATGTATTCCCCCTTTCTCATAAATTCACCATTTTTAAAAAAAAATAAAGTATCAATTATGAGAAGGCACTAGTCTACACTAAGGCTTAAAAAATGTTCAAAAAAAGGAAAAAAAAAAGGTCAGAAACATGATAAATTTTTCTCTTTTTTTTTTTTAATACAAAACAAAATTTCACTAATATAGAGATTATAAGAGTTATATAACTAATCCAAATGTAGTAATACATAAGAGATATTATACCCATAAAATATTTAAAGATGAAAAATTAAATAATCTTATACCTACATCAATATTGTAGTTATAAATATAAACTTGAGATTTAACAGTTAAGTTATATTCTAGCATAATTCACTTAAAAAATAAATTAGTTCATGAGGTAAAAAAATTGGGGTAGAAAAATTTAGTTAAGAACCCCATTCTGAACCATTCTTTCAAAACAGTCAAATCAAGTACAACAACTAATCTAAGCCCCACTAATATCATGTTTAAGTTGTCATTTTCCTCTAAAAAGAACAAATCTTAATAATAAACATCAAGAAAGAAAAGACAAGAACCCTCAAAAAAGAGGGAGAAACCTCCACAAGGGAGGGGAAAACCTTTGAAAGAGAGAAGAGAACTTGCACTCTAGCCATCAACCCTAATCCCTGAGTGGGACATAGGCGGCAATGACAATATCTAGGAGGAAGAAGGAAACAAGAAAAAAAAAAAAGAGAGAAATTGAAGGCGAGAGAAGGGTTGGGGAAACGAGAAGGGAGAAATTGTCCTTAAATCTAAAAACATTAGGAAAAGAAATAATTGAAGCTTCCTACCTCTTTATTTCGCTGTGTCATGTCATAAAATCTTGGATTTATTCTTATTATTATTATTATTTTGATATATCTAATAATTAACTGTATAAGAGATGATATATGATTCTTTTTTATTCGTCTCAAAATTTACACATAAAAAATTTAAAATAAAGTCTTAAATTCTTAATTAATCAAGAAACATACCTCTTGAGGGTGTAGATTCATTGTTCGTAATTCCTTGTGATTGTGATCCAAGTTTGTCAAAGTTGCAGACTCCTAATAGAACAGCTCTAACAAGCAATTGCCTAGTCAACTTGCCAGCTAAAGCTAACTTCCATCGTGGGTGATCAATACCATAATACCATTACCATGTGTCCATCATGAGTGCTTTCATTCTTAAAAAAGCTTTTCTGTATAATATTATACTTTCCGTTGCCACCGCTTGTTCTCAAAGCATGCACATGCTGGCTGCCATGGTCTGAACCCTTTAGAAGATATTATTGAAAAGGCTTGCGGAGTTTTTTTTTTTTTTTATTTTTTTGACACAAGAAATAATTAGCTGTTAATATTAGTATCTATTCTGGTGTATATTGAACGAGTCGAATGAGTGATCTTCACTTTGCTCCTTAAAAGAAGAGCGCGGACCAACTAGTAAGCCGCGTAATGAAGTTCGACTTGTGGAGTTGTATGAATGTAATCTTGATAATAATTAAGCCCCCTTTTATTCTGTCCCAACATTGTTCTTTTTGCCGTCGTCATCTTTACTCTATTGTCTTGTACCATCACGTAATTCATTAGCACCCTGGCGTGAAGGTCAATTGGTTGGTGTGTGTGCAGTGGAGACGTTGTTAATTAGAAGTTTTTAAGTATATTCCCTTCAATTAAGAAAATGACACCTTCATGTAATTAAACACAAGTTAATATCAAACTTTTAATGTGATACAAGAAATTTATGATGTAACATAATATCAAAAATCTTTAATGTGTTAATTTTTTATTGATTAGATACTGCCAATATAGCTAGCGTACCTCCCATGGTCCTGGAGAATTTTTCTGCACAGTGAGCCTCTACCAGTCGCATGAGGTGGGTTGGATTTCTTCTCCTTAATAGGTTGCAATCAGTTAAAAAGAATCTTGTAATTTTTGTTAATTATTTTGCCTCTTTTTTTTTTTTGGAAAATTAGTTAATTAATTTTGGGCAGAGTAACAGATCAATTCAGGATCTCAACTAGTTTATTTACTATTTTACTGTTCAAAAAAAAAAAGAAAAAGAAAAGGGGATCACAATTTTCCCTCCTTTCTTAATAAAGGATTTAAACTTTAATTTTTCCTACCGAAGTCATCTAACTATGCTTTTTTCTTAGGTTTAACCGTTTAAAGCCCAAAAAAAAAAAAAAAAAAAAAAACCTTGAACTTTTCAAAAATATTCATTTTTTTCCCTCAACTAAAAAATGTACCAACCATTATCCCTTCGTTGGTGGCCATTAATGTCCCCAAACTTTTAAACTGCTTAAAAGGCCATTTTTTTAACTAAGTTCTTAGTAATCTCTCTTATTAATCAGTTATATCTTGTAGCATATTTAAAAAATTAAACCATAATCAATAAGACCGTAAATGAACTTTCTTCCTAAGTTAATAATGATATGAAATTAATCAATCACTTCATTTTTTAATTGATTAATATTTTGAGATTCCTGCTTCACTTTCTAAATATATATTTTCTTTTACTTAAATTTGTTTTTATTAGAGGAGGTTGGTCAGGCTTAGATCACTGGTGGAGCCAAGGGGGCCCGAGGAGCGCAAGTCCCCCCTAAACTTTTGCAAAAAATTCAGTTTAGTCCCTTATATTTTACTTTTATCATTTTAATCCTTACTTATTTCATACCATTTTATTCATTATCTATAGTTTGTGCTGTTGAAGATTAATTTTAATGATAAATCAAAAGAAGAGCAAAATAAACATAATATAAAATATGAGAAAAAATATATTTTTTGTTGTTGTTTATTATCATTTTTTTATAAAGTGATTGCTTATTAATATCTTTACTTCCTCTTTTTTTGTTCATATTATATAATTTTTTATATGACACATGTTCATTTTATCATTTAATTAATGGTGTTTATACTACGTTATCAGCCCCTATAAGTTTATTATTAAAGATTAACAAATGTTATTTAAAATATTTTTTTGACTTTTCAAATTGACACAAAAAATTATTGTTTTTATCAAAATTTCATTTTTCCCCGCTAAAAATATTTTCTAGCTCCACCACTAACTTAGATTAATTAGTTATTGTGCTTGCTTTGGTGTGGGTATTGTCCAAGCCAAGGTTTCTAGCTAAATTTTTTTGCCCCAAGAACTAATTTATCTTTTATTTTGATGGATTATGATGGAATATAACTTAATTGCTAAATCTTAAGTTCATGTTTGACTGTGATAAATATGTAAGTATTAGATTATTTGATTTTGCAATTTTACACATTTTATGAGAGCAATACTTTTGGCATATTATCTTATTTGAATTAGTTCTATAACCATTGTGGTTTTCTTATATTAATGAAATTCTACTTCTTATAAAAAAAAGAAAAAAGAAAAAAAGAAATCAAACAAAGGTCATGATACTAGAAAAAGCACACCATGCAACCAATTGGCCTTAATGGGATGAGCAATAATGTAAGACAATAGGAAAAAAAAAATATCATGTTAAGGAAAAGAGGGCTTATTATAAAGATTACATTCATAGAAATTGCCCAAATCTTTTAACATTACAAGCATTAGCTACACTACATAGTAAACTAAGTGAAATTGAGACTCACTAATTAAAAAACTCCTAATTTTAGATCAATGTCACAAATTCAAATCATTTCAATAGAAAACGGTTAATTCTTAGTGTAAAAAAATGATAGTTAAGAGAGTTGCACCATTTTTTTAATATTGTAGTTGGCTTAAAAAAAAGAAAAAAGAAAAAACAGTAATAATGTTTGCTACAATAGGTGATGGCAAGTGACCATTTTTCATCCAATTTTTCCTTCCATAAGAAGAAGACACAGTTGGAGGACTCTTGCGGAAGAAGTTAAAGTTCAGATCCTTAATTAAGAAAAATATGGAAGTCGAGATCTGATTTGCAATTTTTGCAATTAATGTTGCTTTGCTTACCTAAGATCTCACAATCACAATATTCTACGCCGAAATGACGCGCTTATAATGAGAAGTAAAATTATAAAACTAGAATTTAATATAAGCAAATGTGACCGGCTAAATTTAGCGTCCGAAGCCTTGCGTTCGTAATCTTTTGAAAGCACCAAATTGCACTATTATAAAACTTTTGAAAAGAGATTAATTTTAATATATATCTTTTTTGAGACAGATTGAAATTATTTACATAATAATTAAAGAAAGGAAAAAAAGATTTTGTGGGGTTTGAGTGATTCATAAGAAGTGAATCATTCTAACTTAAAATCTATATAACTGTATTAGAACAGGTTGTGCAATTTTAATATACTTTGAATATCTAATAAGGAAAAAAAGTAATTACTTGCTGGGGTTGAGGCTAGTTATACGTGATGAATACGTTAGGCATCACAAAAAGGGGG